CAATTTCAAACTGCAAAAGTTGGTGGAAATCCTTAACTTCTTCCTCTCTGGGTTTAGCTGGGTACATATGTTTGAATAATTTTGGTATAGTTTATTTTCTTCAAGCTAGGCCAGGTACAATCAGATATTACTCAGTGCTTGCTCTCCATTTCTGGCAACTTTATTTTGCCAGATGGTTACTATATGAAAGTTTGCCATGAGAAGAATCCACAGATGTTCCATAAGAACCCATTTCTGTTAAACTTTTTTATATGGTCCTTAGTGGTTTCATATCTAAACTTATTCAGGTTTAACCTGCCAGTCTTTATTTTGACTGGAGCACTGGTGGCAAGAACCTGCACTGCAATCCCAAAGGTATGGCCTTCAAATCCACCAGCTGTTCTGCAGGAGAAGGCTGGGCAATCTCCTGGATGATTAACTGCCTCTGAATTCCATTGGAGGAATTCCGACCGGCTATGCATTAGTTCCGACTCGACGGCACACAACAACAGTACTGATAAACAAATTATACTTTTCAAATAGGCTTTTCCAGAATGTGAGCTGTATATCTTCTGTGTGTGTTGGTCTCCTCAAGTAATTATGTCATTATGTTTATGTAAATACTTCCTTAAATAGTTTAGTGGGTTCAGTGCAAGTCTTTAATTCTGCCGGTTAAAAAGAAAACAGCACAGTCTCCTGGTGCACACAAGGAATGTTGTTGTTGTGTACCATAGAGTCAGAACTGACCCATAGCTGACCCTCTGGTGTGTTTTCAGAGGCAGTTAATCGCACAGAAAGAGATTGTCCATCCTTCTGTGGAGCAGCTTTTAGCCTCGAACTGTGTGCCTTTAGGATTACAGTGCAGCTTCTTGCCACCATATTCCATTCAATTTTAGTTCACAGTAGAATAGGTTCCCCCCCATCCCCCGAGTTGTATAGTGGTACCTAGATTGAAGAGAAATGGAAATAGAGTGATAAAGAAGTGCCTTTCAGCTCGGGTGAATCACAAATCTGGTCTAGGTATGGATCCCTTATTTGGTAAAATTTAGGATAATCGTATGTTATCAGAGGATGTAGATTAATTTGATAGGGCTTTATTGACCACTAAAGAGCTTATTTGTGTACCTACTCATCACATGGTCCTGCTCAAGGTCCTAAGTCATCGTTTAGCTAGTAAGGACCAAAGGGTATGTCATTGTTAGAAGGGAGCACGATGGAATGTATAATGTTTTGAGGGACATATCTGACTATATGAGAATTGATAGAGGGTGGGAAAGTGAGTACCTTTAGATTACAGTGGAGAAATCCAAAAGGTAAAAATCATAAAGCAAAGGGAATGTGATATTAATAGAACTGAAAAATTTAGATAAAAGAAAGAGAAAGTAAGTTGTATTTAGAGGTCATATCAGAAGTTTACATTCCCTTTCTCCTAGGTTTGGAAGGAATGATGCCATTTGTTGCACTTCAAAGTGCTTTAGCTCTTTTCCTGTTAGTTCAGCACTAGGAACCATTAGGAGCACAGTCTCTTGCAACACCCTCTATGAGGTGGTGTGGGAAGTCCTGCACGGGAACCAGTGCAAACGCAGAAAATTTTTAGAAATGGCGGAGCTGCAGATCAGCTTGAAGAACTGTGACCCTCAAATTGACAAATACTTCTTGGGGACCAACAGGCTTAAGTCTACCCCATGCCCCACATTCTCTGTATTTAGGGATCACCAGCACTGTAACAAAGCCAAAGCTGTGGATATTCCCTACATGTACATCAAAGTGCTGAAAAAACAAGAATAAGAAACTGAAAAAACAATAAGAAGCTGGTTAACAAGCTGGCCAAGAAGTGTGATGCCTTTGGGCCTCTGAATCCCTGATCAAGCAGCTCGCAAGACTTCTGGCTCTAAGCCTAAATAAAGCTGGTAGGTTCCTTTCTTTGCTTACCCATAGTGAGAAGAAGATGATGGCTGAAGGAGATGAAGTGAAGTTCACCATCAGTTTCTAGGTGAAGAAGTGGCTGTTAGCCATGTGAAGATGACAGATGATGAACTTGTTTACATCATCTGGCTGTCAACATCCATCTGGCTGTCGACTTTCCAGTTTCACTGCTAAAGAAGAATTGGCAGAATGTCCAGGCTTTTTACATCCAGAGTACCATGAACAAGCCCCAGCATCTGTACTTAAGATACAGCTCAATAGATTTTGTTGTTTTTGTTATGTGCTGTCGAGTCGCCTGTGACTCATAGTGACCCTAGGTACAGCCCTAAACCCTGCTCTATCCTGTGCCAATCTTACTGTCTCTGACACACCTACCTGCATTACACCTGTCACTGACTCAGTCCATCTCATCGAGGGTATTCTTCTCTTGTGCTGGCTGACCCTATATCTTTCCAAGCATGATGTCCCTCTCCAGGAACTGTTCCTGCCTTTCATCATGTACAAAGTAGGTCAGAGAATCCTTACCAAGGATCAGTCTGGCCTCACCTCCTCTCGGACTAACTTGTTTGTTCTTCTAGCAGTCCATGATATAGTCAGAACTCTTCTCCAGAACCACAGCTCAAAGGCATCAACTCTCCTTCAGTCATCCCTAGTCATTGTCCAGCTCTCTGATGCTCAGCAAGTGATTGCAAAGATCATGGCTTGTATCAAACACACCTTAAGTCTCCAAACTGACATCGTTGCTTTTCAGTACTTTGGAGAGGCCTTTGACAGCAATCTTCCCTAATGCAGTTCGTCTTTTAATTTCCTGGCTGCCAGTACCAAGAGTGTTGATTGTGGAGCCAAGCAAATTAAAGCTGTTAAAAATCTCAATCTCTTTACCATCCATCCTGATGCTGCCAATAAATTTTACTTTTAGTAAAAACAAAACCCAAAATGTTTTAGAAATAAAATGCTTAGGTACAGAATGTAATTTTAATTGTAACTGTTACACAGAATTGTTCAGATTGGCTCATGTAAAGACATTTGACTTGATCCATCATGTTCTTGTAGAAACTATTTTCCATTTATCAAAATTTTCGTAGCACTTTCTTCTGCAGATTCATATGTACAGTTCCAGTAATGACTTTAAAATTAAACAATTTTAATAATAGCATTATGTGATTGTAATTAATATTATAAAACAAAATTTATCCTAGTGGCAAGAAGCTGCACTGCAATCTCAGAGGTATGTGGTTCGAATCCACCAGATGCTGTCCTGGAGAAGGAACGAAAATCTCCTCCTGTACCAGTCAGATCCAATTTGATAGTACACACACAAAAAAAAATAAATAAAATTTTTAAAAAACCAAACAACACAACAAAATTTATATGAGTGAGTGAATGAAAACTAATAAAAAAAAGCGACTTGAGTATCATAAAAGAAGCATTATGGAAATACAAATGCATTTAAAATATGGACAAAAGAATACCTAGAAACTTCAGCCTTTTGTTTTGGTAAATTTTGCATGGTAAATTTACTTTCTAGGATTGTGCAAAATGACTTTTGTATGCCTTTTATATGCTATTCAACCAGCCATGTTGCTTCCCTTTTGGCCATAATATTTATATTCAGAAACATAAGGATACAGTTGGAACTATCTGAATTAATGCTTATGTTTATCCCCTCTAGATCACTTTTTAATTCGGGCTTCTGCAGCTCTAGAAAAATTGAAACTCCTTTGCGGAGAAGACAAAGAATGCTCAAATCCATCAAACCTTCTAGAACTTTACACACAGGTATTAAAACAGATGTGGTCCTGACATCTAAATAAATGCTAATCCAAAGTTCACTTGATGTGAATCAATTATTTTTTATTTAAATTACTTAATTTGCTTTGTTTTACTTTTTTTTAATGTGGCAAACAACTGTATGTGTGAAGAAATACACTTCAAAGTTTGATATATTCTGGAAAGAGTATTATTGAGGTGTTGATAAGAAGTCAGGGTAAAATGGGAAGGATCTGTTGGAGACCTGAAAAGACAGGGTAATGATGGGCAAGGTCCTATGGTAATTAATTTTATAAAACTTAATGCATAGGAACAGTTGTATGAAACAAAAAGTGAGTGAAGAATTGTGTGAAACACAGTGTGTACGAACTTTGTAAGCAAACCAATATAAAATATATATAAAAATAAATTTAAAAAAAGAAGTTGGGGTAAATGTCTTACTGATAAATTAAAAACAAAATACTCTTGTGTGTAATTATTTCTAGAAGTACTGAGGGACTCTTGGTAGAAGTTCTACCTACTTAATAATATTTTACTTTTAGATTCAGGCCTCTGGACAAGACCTGCTTTCTTAAAATCTACAGAAACAAACCAGCTCTAAGAAAGAGAATTTCATTATACTTTATACTTACTAGTTTCACACATTCTTACTTAGTTACTGAACTACATGCTGAGGGAGAGTAAATATGAAGTAGTTAAACAAAGTAGAATAAATGTAGTTAAGCTTCTAAAGTACACACATGGGTCATATAGAAAACATTTGCAATACTGAGCATGCTAAGGACTGTTTTCTGTTGGGAGGTACGTAAAGGTTTTGCTCTCAGACGCCATGGTTGAATGAGCCTCTGACTCCCAGGAGTTGTAATTTGTCATTGATTTTACCTAGCTTCCTTTTCTTTCAAGAGGCTTCAGTTTTGCAGATAATGGGTGTAATTTCTTTCACATTGGAGTTCTCTAAGCCTTTTGATTATTTCCAGAAATAAGCCAAAAAAATAGAGATACGGATTCAAATTTTCAAGACTCTTGGACCCTCCTATGCCTTTGATTCAACAGATCATATAATATGAAATAAATAATATTGCCATTTTGACTTTTGTTTTCCACACAGTAATACCTATCACTTCTGTGCCATTCACTGTGTGCCAGGTAGTGTTCTAAGTGGTTTGTATACAGTGATTCACTTTAGCTTCAGAGCAGGAGATTTTGAAAGACATGTAGTCCAGCTTCTTCATCAATGAAGGAACCAAGGCTTGAAATAAAAGTGAAGAACTAGAGAGAAAGTGGAAGGCTGTGTGGTTCCATTAAGATTTTCAGCCCTGGGAGCCCAGTGGAAGGTCACTGTCACTTGGAAACAGCTTTGCTTTATTGAGTGGGTCTTTCATTAGTTAAGAGATTAATGGCAGAGCTGATAGTAGTAAAGTTTTCTTCCTGTTCATTAAGAAGGTTAAAAAGATTTAATGTCTGTAAAATGTTTCTAATGTCTCCTCTGGTGTTAGGAGTTGTGCCCAGAGAGGTATGCAGTTTGAGTCCAGCTAGCTGCTCTGTGGGAGAAAGATAACAGTCTCCTCCTGTGTGACTTACAGCCTCTGAAAACCTGGAACATCAGCTATGAGTCACTTCCAACTCAGTGGCCACAGTAACAATAACCTCTTGTGTTTAAGGAATGCTTGGGACTTGGTGTTAGAACTGCATCGACTTAG